GGAGACACCAGCCAACCAAAAAGATCAGAACGAATAAAGAATAGACTAGGCAAGATGCCCGAAGGAAAATGTTGCGGTATATTCCACAAAACGAAAAAGAAAGGATGGAACACGTACAACAGAATAATAAACAAGAATGAGACAGCAATAATAACACAGAGCGATGAGGACACAGACATGTTTTTCGACGCAATAGATGAATAGCGAAAAATAACAAAACAACTATAAAAAAAAGTTGAAAGCTTGGTATTACAAGGGACGGCCGCTCGAATAATACTAAAATTTTAACAAGGAACGAAGGACAAAACACAGGTAATATAAGCATTCATAGTTAAATATCAGCACAGTTCAATGAAAACAAATTTTTTTGAAAACATAATAGTAGATCATAACTAAAAGCAAGTTTTAAGAAAGAGAAATAAGTAAATTAATTTAAAGTTTATAGGGGTCTAAGCTGCTGTTGATTAGTAAGAGCTGGATCGGTAAGATACCATACGCCAATCCTTTATTGCTATGTCAAAACTGATTGACAGACTTGAATTCCTATCAACTAACAAAGTAGTATAAAGATTGAGTCAGAGCACTGGTAAATAAACAACTAATACAGGTCAAGTGTAGAAAACGTTTTTTTTAATTACATAAAAACAAAATATTGTAGTTTATAACAGACACCAAGAGTTCATTACATTTGTCAGTATTAAATTGCATCAACAATGTGAGTATATAAAAATTCAGCCCTCAGCAAAACGTAATTTAATAGCCTTGAAACATAAATATCATAACATTGAAAACAGGTCATTGTGTTTGACGAGAAATCAAAATAAATTCCACCTTTGAATTATTTTAAAAAGATTTGGAAAAGAGTGAGAAATATTACAATAATTTCTGACACTTTATTAAGAGTAAATATAGTAATTAAAATATTTTCAAATAAGGAAAATTCGTTACACATACGTAACTATATACAATAAGTGATGACAAGTTGAGAATTAAAAATATATGACTCTAATATACAGGGTGTATATATAACAGAAAGATGATATATTATATTGTAAATATTTAAAAAGTACAAGTCCCAATTATTAACATATTAATATTGGTTTAGATATCAATTTATTTATCAGTTTATAGTCAATAGGCATACTAATATGCAATACACTGTAGGTTAGTTTATAAGTCAGATTTATGTAAAGCTCACTAAAATTGTCTGCAATAAGCAGCTATACATGTAATTACAGGTTAATGTGCGTTGAATTACGCGTAAAAAGTACTAATGCGAACTAAAGTCTGCTTACGGGAGTGCGACCGTTCGGGAAGCAATAACAGTGCGATTTGTGACACTGGAGAGACTCATCACGATGGAGGGACTCATGTTTCACTGTGGGATGTACAGCCACACGTCCATAGTCGATGGAGGACTAGACAGCTACATCAAGAAGACAGGAGCAGAAGAATGCCGAAATATACACTGCTACCGATCGATACAACTCTACAAGAAGACCACAACGAAATCCACCTACGAGAAGGAGTAACATGCTCATTCATCAACGGCTGTTGCTTGGACTCTACAATAGGCGAAATAACTTGGAAAAACAATACAAAGACAACAGTTGTGAAAGTCAATTGTCACAACTTTACAGAGGGCACGTTGAAAGATCACTAATAAACAATCACTAGAAGAATTGGTACTAGTAGAACAAGATAAAAACATATTTGCTCTAATGCTACACAAAAGGGCTATAATATGTAACACAGAAGTATGGCAAACAGAACACCCTCGAATCCTAATAAATTTCCTAGTAAACAACAAAATAAATCCTAGTATGCCACTCCTACCTCAAAAAGTAGACCTGATGACCTACATCAATAACAAAATCCTTCACACCGAACAATCCTACCAAAGAGAAATAGAAAATCTATACTTAGACACAGTACTACGACGATGCCAAACAAAGAGTTGCAGCAAACACATACCAGAGACCATTCTAGCAGAAGTATAATGCGACAAAACAAAGCAGTATCAACCTGAGACGACCACCCAGCAAGGACAGACCAATGGAGGCAGACAGCAGCAGTAACGCATCAATATAGTTAACTCGACACGTGGAATTGGCAAACGGACATTAAAACAGCCAAGACGACGCGAGTGAAGTGCGGATAATTCCCACAGGGATACGCGATAAAGTGAACGCAAAACGCGAGTACAATCGTATAGAACAGTTAGAATACGCTTGTCGTAATGGACACATGTAATCACAAACAATTGTAATAAGTTAGGAAAGTCTTTCACTTGTTAAGTTTCAATAAGATTAATACAAGATTGACTCAACTTGTCATACACATAGGTTTAATACGGGGGCAGCACGATACATTCGCTGACCACGGTACAATAGTCTATAAGAAACAGTAAATGATAAAATATAAATTGGGACTTATATAAAAAATATATATAGTAGATTATAAGTAATAAATATGTTAAGTTTATTGTTGGAAAAGGAAAAGGCCCCTCGGCCCTTTTCTTTTTTTGCGTAGGGAGTAATGTAATGTGAGCGTAGCAAGTGAGTGAGAAGTTGGAATAAAGGAAGTAGCATAGAAAAAGATAATAATTATTCGAGATAATTATTATATATTCCGAATAAAATAAGGGATAATTAATACAGTTAACTTATACATTTAAATTATACAAAGTATAACAATTGACCTAGTTATTGCATTGTTTGATAATTGTTTAAACGTATAAAAAGCACGAAACTATTGTTGTAAAAAAATAACAACACCCGTGACCCAAATAGAAGCAATAACGCCAAAACTGCAACTCAGCGAAACTACGACCTTGGTACTAGAACCAGCGTTGAAAGTACGACCACAATAAAACAGAAAGAAACGACGGTAGCCAGGTCAGTAGTTGGTAGTCAGTCAGTCAGTAGTAGTGAGACGGCGGGCGTCCAGGCATCAATTGCCGCCCCGGCTACTCTCGACGCGGTAGCGTCGGGTACGAGTAGCTAGTAATGAGTAGTCAGTAGTCAGTCAGTAGTAGTGAGACGGCGGGCGTCCAGGCATCAATTGCCGCCCCGGGTACTCTCGACGCGGTAGCGTCGGGTACGAGTAGCTAGTAATGGGCAGTCAGTAATAGCGGGCCACCGTGGCTCGGACGCGATAGCGTCCAGTACGCGAGACAATCGGTGATTCTCCGGGGGCCGCGTATCATCTGACATAGTATCGCGTGTAGTCCGGTTATTGTGGCAGCTCGAAAGTTCGCAACCCCTCAACTGACCGAGTTCCAGAAGACTGAACGTGTCGTGGTTGAAGCCCTAATATACACATAAGGTAACAGATTTCTTATACTAACCTGTGTAATTATATTAGTACCACTGTCAACTCTTCACTATCTTGCTACATCGTCTCCCGACGCGCAGAATAACGTGTTAACGATTGTATTAGTAACTTCAGGGTAGATTCAATATATTGTTGACTCTAATTTGGTTTTTTTTTTAATGTTCCTTTCGTCCGACTCACTAGAGACTAGGAGAACACGAGATTCTGCGTATGCATATCTCCGGCTTCAAAAGTAAGCCCATAACCTCTGCTCTTTACAGGACCTGAGACCTAGGAGTCCTTACCCCTATCCCGAAATCCCTTATCTTCTCGTAAATCCACGAAGACGAGCCAGCCCTCCAGACCAGTGTGACCAGTATTCCTTGCAGCCGCTCGCAGGGTTAGCATCCCATGAGGATCTATTGTGTATTTCATTTGGTGACAGCGTTTTCCATAACTTCACATAACGCTCCCATTCGTTATTCATTTACAATGTGGTCCCTTTGAGGAAGATTTCTATACCCAGATTGGAACTGTTGGCAGCCGCTATTGGTGCTAGACTTTATCAATCAGTAAAAAGACAATTTTATCAATATGTTGAGTCTTATTTTTGGTGTGATTCCACTACTTTCCTTTCTTGGATTCAACGTAAGGATGACTGGTCTGTTTTTATTTTTAATAGAGTTCAGAAGGTTAGAAATTTAGCCAATCCTAGTTGGAAATATGTACCTAGTTCTCTCAATCCTGCCGATCTTCCATCAAGAGCCTGTGGTGTTCAGCAATTGCTCGACTCTCGATGCTGTAAGGGCCCGGTTGAACCCGGAATGGTTGTACAGAACAGAAAATGATTGTCCCTAACAAAAATTAGAAGTTGATGAAGAAGAACCATGAAAACTACCATGAAAAAAAAAAGCCAGTTCGTCACGATTTTCTACAGCTTGTATTCGAGGGTAAGATTGAGGGCAAACGTAGACTAGGATGTAATCGGTACCCTTGGCTTAAAACATAAGAGGTTCAAGAGGCTTGGGAACGATTTGCTAAAAAAGACCCAAAACAGAGAAGAATTTGTGCAAACCATTACCGATCTTCCATAGGAGAAGGCACTCGAAGAAAAAGGACAAAAGGATGCCATCAGTTACTAACTCATCCCCACAAGATTCGTTGGTCACTAAGTGAAGGATTGCTTATACCGGCAATCACTTGGTGAAATTTTGGCCATATCAGGCTACACTCAATTACTTTAGCTTGCAGACAAATGCAGCCGCCCGAGATGTGGCACGTGGATCCATGAGAGAGAGGTGGGTAATGCAAGGATAACTAACAACCTCCTCCCAATAATATTAAAACAATGGAAATATATCGTACTTAGTGTCCATTTGAAGATGAACATATTAATTTAGGTATATTTAATAAACAAAAGACAAAAATTTTATTTAATCACAGCAACTATTGCATAATGACTTGTTAACGATATAATTTACTGCAACAAAACTAATTCTTGTATTGTAAGTTTAATGTTTAACGACCGTGATGTATATTATTAAAGCTTTTTAATGCATTTAACAGCTTTTTATTAAAATGAAGTTCCCCATTTAAGTTATTTACATCAATTATCTGATATTTTTATAACTGTCAAATAGGAAACATTTTATTTCATTCAAATCATATCCTGCAATCAGACATTGTTCCATTGTTGACGTAAATATATATATTTATGATAACTAGTGAGAAAAGTAGTAAAATTGTAGTTTTTTACAGTTTTGGCTTAGAGTCTCTAACAGAAATATGAACAGTATTGTTTTATTTGCTGTGTGCCTGGTTATTGTAACCAATTACACGGTAAGTACTTTTTATTTTTGTCTTATAAATCAGTATAATACTGATTTATTATACTGAATATTTCTTTTCTTAATATCAGAGATAAGAAAATCTGCGCATGCAAACTGTTTTTTAAAATAACATTAAATATATCAAAATGTGCCATAGATACGGTTCTAAAAAAAATAACTGAGTGTGGTTCTCTAACTAAAGAAGAAATAGGGACACATTCAAATAGGGATAATAAAACAAGCGACGCTATAACTCAGGGCGTAATTGATCATATTAATAAGTTACCAAGAACAGAACCTTACTATTGCAGATCGACTACAAAAAAGAGTATCTAGAAGGATCACTAAATATCAGTATGATTTATAGGATGTATAAGGAGAAGTGCTTAGAGGAGAATGTGCCATTTGTGAAACAACACATTTATCAGGAAATTTTTAACACAAGGTTTAATCTTGCATTTTTTAAGCGGAAGAAAGATTTGTGTTCAGTATGTGAAGTGTACAAGAATATAAGTCAAAAAGAAAAAAATGAAAAAGGGCAAAAATTGAAAATCACAATGACGAAATGGTACTGTTGCGCCTGGAAAAGGAAAATGATAATAAATTGACCTCAGATGATAATATTCGATATAGCAAACCGTGATACCCCTACCAAATGAAAATGTATCCTCTTTTTATTACAAGAGTAAGTTAAATGTTCTTAACTTTACAATTTTTAATATTAATACAAAAGAGGGTTTCTGCTACATGTGGAATGAAGGTAAAGCGAAAAGGGGGGCAAACGAAATATCAACATGCGTTTTTAATTACATAAAAAAGTATGGCATCGTGTTTTATAGCGACCAAAATACAAACAGACTTTTAGCAACTATGTATTTGTATTCAGTGGAGTAATTAGACGTTTAACAAATTCTTCACAAATATTTAATTGTTGGACATACTGAAAATGAGGGTGACTCTACGTATTCATGCATAGAAAAAGAGAGAAGTAGAATATTAAAAAGCGGCCAAATTACGGTCCCTCTGAAGTTATTATCATTATAAAGTCGGCCAAGAAAAAGGGCAATCTTTACTCCGTTACTGAATGTCCACAGAGGATTTTATAGATTGGAAGAAAATAAATTCAATGATGGGCAAAAATTTTAATACAAATGAAAATTGAGAAAAAGTTACTTGGAATGAAATTAAAGTTATACTGGTTAAAAAGATAGAACCAATAAACATTTTTATAAGACATCCTATCCCGATCAAGAATATAAGATTATTAATGTAAATAAAAAGAAACGAAGAACAAAACCAGTAAGTGTACAATGTTTACCCCCTGTTCATAATGCGGCACCAACCATACCTCTAAATAAGAAGCATGATCTTTTCAGCTTATGCAATCATAATCTAATTTCTAAGAAATATCATAATTGAGGGGCTGAGAGGAAAAGTGGTACAAGTGACATTTAGATAGTTTTGAGAAAATGAGAGTTAAAGTTTAAGTAGTGGCACAAAAAGACTAAACAAAATTTTAAAATCTAATCAAGATATTATTATTAGTAAGTTCTTAATGTTTTCATGTGCAGTTTTTACAATCATATACATTTAGTTAGTGCTCCATCTTCATTTCTTCAAATTTAAACTTCTTAGAACTGTTTCTCACAGCATTCATCCACTCACTGGGTACAAACCTCCTCTTTTATAAACAGCGGTGATTCCAACGTCAGATATCCCATTTAAAATTCTCGAATAACGTCCATTGCTGATATCCAAGGTTTTTAAGAAAAACATTTTGCAAACTCTCATATTTTTTAGTTTGATAGTAACGCTCTTTTCTTTATTAGTAACAGCTTCTGTACGTCGTCGTTTGGGCAAAGCGATCTCTGTACAAGACGTAATGAATGCATTCTGCAGATTCCAATTTTCTAGACCCCAGAATTGGTTAAATATTTCCTGTCTTTGTTCATCGGTGAATTTTTGACACTGAAATCTGCAAGTATGTATATAATTTTGCAAACTTCTTGCTTTTACTAACTTGTTTTTATAGCCTACGTATTCCTCACCTGCATTTCTTTTTCGTTTTCTTACTTGCTTCTTATCTAAATCGCTATATCTCAAACGTTTTTTGCCCTTTTTCTTTAATGACTTGTTTAAATGAACATCTGCAATGTTTTGTAGATCATGATTACTATCGCTACTACTTTCTTCTATTGGATTATAGTTTCTGTCCTCTTCTGAATCGTCATATTCCGAATAACTGTCAGATTCTGAAACAAAAAAGAAACATTTTAAGGTTATGCTATAAGTTTCTTTCAACTACTACTTTTTGAAGACATAGATAAATAAAATAACCCTATAAAATAACAATTGAAAAAATATAAAACGCATTGAAGACTTACCTTGCATTATTTTAAGGCTATTTAACAAATTGTATTAATATTCCTGCACACTTTTAAAACGTGGCTGTCACAAACAACTACATAAGGTTTAGAACAAAAGTGGGACATGTACGCTTGGACCACTTATACAGAAAACCATTACCAGAAATTGGTGAGAGCTTTTACTTCTCACATACAGATGTCCGTACTGTAGTGTGTTTTGTACTTGTACCATTTTTATATTAATAAATCTCAACATCCTCTAGCCACTCATGCACATATCTCACTTTTATACAAAATGTCACTTGTACCACTTTTCCTGTCAGCCCCTCTATTCTGTTCTTTTAACAAAGTCTACATTTGGGTATTATGTAATGAATATTTTTTGATCTAATTTTTTTATCTTTTGGTTTCTCGATTGGTGCTTACATGTAATATGGAGTTCTATCTCAGTCCTCATTCTTCTCAGCACCTCGTTGTTGATCACGTGCTCTGTCACGAAATCTTCAGCATCCTTCGAAAAACACACATTTTAAAGGCTTCTATACGGTAGATAGAGTTTATTAGGAATGCTTAATACATTCATTAATGTGTACACTTACATTGAGGTATTTCATTTAAATTACTCAACTTTGGTTTATACTTATTTATCCCTGGTTTGTTCTTGATTTTGTAGTCATAATATATGATATGTGGGTTTTTAAATTACTTGTCTTTAAAATACCTAGTTTAAATTGGCAGTCCTTGATTTTTCAGTATTTATATTTTAATAATTTTCCTTTGGTTTAATAGTCTTGTACACTTGATTTTACTGTCATAGAGAATGTATGTTTAAATTATTATTTTTTGTTTAAGTTTAAGACCCCTTAATGTTGTACCCTTCTTTGCATCCGTAGGGTATTTGGGTTTTAATAACTTCTCATTGGTTTAATATATCGCTTAAAATAATTATTGAGTAGATGGTTCCCCTACATGAGGCACAAATTATATCAATCGTAAAGTTGCAAAAATCTAAATCCTATATCAAAATCACCCCCAAGACTAGTGTGACCAACTTCAATTCTATCGAATTTAGGACAAGGCTAAAAAAATACCTGAAATCCGGGACTTTTCAGTGTAAATCGGGCCATTTTTTATTTTTTTAAATCACCATCTTTTATTGATTATTTAACATTTTTATGTTGACAATGATATTTTTGATGAGATTAAGCCATAATTGGTTATAATAATCAAATTTTTGTTAGTTTTTGACGTTTCGACTTCCAATCCGGAAATCATTCGCAAAAAAGAAAAAATTAGAAAATCAACTGATGTTGAATCTTCATGTTAATGTAACCTTAATATTTATATTTTAATATATTTAATGCTGGTCTAAAATTTACAGGTGAAATATCTAAAGTTAATATTTTGTTGGCAACATTGAAAGTGGTATCAAAATTTGCACAGAAATAGCTATGATGTAAACAGGCTAGCAAGAGATATGTCATGCAAGACAGACTCGCATAGCATGGGACTTGATCAGGTAAAAGCTGCTTTTACCTAATCAAGAATGAACAACAACCAAACTTTCGAACATGGGTCCTTGAAAAAATCCTTCAGTAATTTTGGGCTGTTTTAAGTTTCCAGAAAATAAGTCTTTAAACCAATCTAAACTTTTAAGATTGATTGCACGCATGCGAACATTTCCAAAAAGCGAGTTTTTCCATAACCGAGAATTTTCTGGTATTGAACGTTTACAGTTTCACAAAAATCTTCACACAATCTCAAATGTGTGACATGAACAGTGAAACAATAAAAATGTGAATACATTTTCACCATTATTAATTCCACGTTAAATAACATATTGCAGCCACATTGCAAAGTGTTGTGAATAATGTAATCCGCACAACCGATTTCCATTAAATTTGGATTCACCTGTGATTTTAGTTTGTAGTAAATATTTTTTTGCCCACCTCGGCTTTTACCACCAAAATTAGTATTAGTAATATCGCCGCAGAATGAATTTAACTTTTTTGTGATGTTATACTTTTCAAGAGTTCTCCAGAGCTGCACAATAATATCAGATGTTTCGTCTGCACAATATTTTCCTCTTCATGCCTTCTAATGCAACGAAATATCTTACCACAACCGGGAACATCTTTACGTTTCCATGGTTAGATGCATCGGTAATTATAATGACGTATATTGCGTTGTTCATTGCATCAACCAATTGATTTTCGATGTACGCACCAAAGACATTTTTAACAATTTCCTCACATTCAGTACGAGCTGACTGAAATTTGGTCAATCCAAAGCAATTCCGAAATATTTTTGATGAGCAATCAGCTGTGCGAAAGTTTTCATTTTCCTTAATCATATGATACGCCCAAACACCTTCCCGAGCTGCAGTCTCTAAATCAATATTGCTCGATGTTGCTGTTGCCTTGAAAAATTCATTCAATTTTTTGCTGCTTGCCGCAGAGCTAATACCTCTTTGGTGTTTTTCACTTCTCATGTGACTCACTACATCCGCTCTACCACCGTGGGCGATCGAAAATTCGCATCCACAATAACATTTTACGTCACTGTTACCTTTTTTTTTTAATGGGAATTCTTGCAATGGTTTATTAAAAGTGCAATAGCGTTTTCTCTTTTTATTTTCTTGTTC